AGATGTTCCGCCAGGAGCCACAACAAGGCGGGACGCTTCACGCATCTTCCCCAGATAGAGACGGCCGCAGCCGCAGCATCGCATCCCAACCGCGCCCTGCAGCCCAACACGACCCAGAACCTCCAGAACCTCCTCACCGGCTCTGTGGTCGCTCCGTCTCAGTCAGGACCATGGACAGCGGCGCGCTGACGGAGTCCGGGATGGATCATTCCCTCAGAGACGCGTGACCTGAAGGCGCTGCCGCCGCCGCGCTGCCGCTCCTCCCTCCCGCTGCGGCGCTTCGACTTTACTGCATTTCAGAGTTTAATCAGAGAAATGAGACATTTAGAAAAGCCTGACAATCGCTGATTCTCCGCTGCGCTTCACACCCAGTCCGCTCAGTTCACACCGATCACAATATCAATGATGTCATCCGCAGACAGCCGGAGATGCCCGGATGTTCTTAAAGCTGCAGCGCATCCAGAGTTACGTCATCAAACATCCACCAACATGCTGCTAACGTTTAGCTCAGCTAAATTCATTAAATATACGTAGCTTGCTAACTACATACTTAGTTTTGTTATCTTTGTTGTGAACTTAATGTCGTTTCTGAATAAATATAGCAAGAAGGCTAAATACTAGCTTCCTCATAAAACACAAAATATTTAGTTTGTAGCTAGAAAACAAAATATTTTTACAGTATGGTGTCTTCAGCCCTTTAATCCTTTGTTGTGAACATTTAGTTTGAAAAACACACTGAATTTCCTCACTATTTAACTTCTTAAGTACCCAACTTGCTAGGTAAGCAGCTAGCAGAGCTAGCAAAGTGTTAAATTGCTAACTTAGCTAGCAAGTTAGATACTTAGCCTGCTAGCTAAATATCTGTCTTAAAGTGACCTTGAATTAATTTGTTCCAAAACATCAGAGACAAAACAAGAATCTTTGTGCGTCTCATTAAAAAGGACAAAACTGTTTTAGGTGTGAAATTATTTAAATATTAATGTTTTCTGCATGTCAGTAAATTTGAGTTTAAGTTTGTTTATGACATAATTCTAAAACCAATGACTCAAGTAGAATTTAAGTAAATTCATTGAAATTAATATATTAACTACAGGTACATGTCCCCATGTTAAAATAAATGTATAATATTAAAGCTGCATAAATCCAGGCTGTTTTAGAAGCGTTTTCATTTTCAAGATACGTTTTTAATCTCATGATAAAAGTCAAACCTTTCCCAACAATTAAACACACAAACAGCCAGACTTCAACTCAACCTTTATTATCTTGTTCTTTTCTGCTTTAAATTAACTTCCTCTCCTTTTTGTAACATATGAAATAAATGAAAACATCCTGAACAGGAGTGATAATAAAGACTGACTTAATTTAAACGGATACATAAACCAAAAAAAAAAAAAGAAAAAAAGAGAAAAGCACAGTAAAACAAACAGGTAATGTCTTTAACGTGTCTGTAAAACACTGTTCCAGCTCAGCTTGGTATGGTAGGACATGGCATCTTCACACAAATGCCGTCAGTTTCCTGTTTTGTCTTCAGAACTAAACAAAACATTTCTCTTATTGCATTTGACAGGAAAACAAAAAATGCTGCTAAAAAATAAACATCAGAGACAAATAGAGCCAGATCAGTTTTTGAACTTTTCAGGCAGACGGTCGAGAAAATCTGTTTACATCCAATCGCTTCCCTGACTGGTAGCACACACACACACACACACTCTCTCCTAAAGGAAAAACATTCATCATCATCATCATGTTGAGCCGCTGGACGCTCTTCATGCTCTCAGGCAGGCAGGCAGGAGGGCAGCTTTACAGCGAGTCATGGTTCCATCAAAACAAAAAAACCACACAAACTTTCACCGATTTCTTTAAAACATAAAAAATATGATAAACAACCAACGTACACCGACAGAGAGATACGTTACTGTCAAATATATGAGCAGAGAGGTGATGATGGGGTTCAGCCAAGGCCACAGCTGTCGCAACGTCTTACCTGTTGGAGTAAAAACTAAACGAGGAAGAGGAGGAAGAGGAGGAAGAGGAGGAGTCGACAAACCCAGAGGCTAATAGTGCAAGTTTGGCTAACGATGCTTGTGTTTTACCCCGGGTCCCTCTCTGATGGCGGCGCTCCGTACCGGCAGACTAACCCCCGCTGACGCCGTGTGATTCAGTAGTGTGGCGCCGTCCCTAAACTCCGCCCCTCTCCCCTCCGGAAACGGAAAACGAACGCGCCCCGGAGCGCCGGGCCAGACGCGGGCCGGACGCGGGCTCAGTCTGCAAGTCTGAGATCTGACCGTTAAATACAGATACAAAAACAAAGTGGCGCTCTAAAAACAGCGAGTTTACTGGTTGCCATGGCGACCCGGAGGGGGCGGAGCCTGAGCGGCGCGGATGCTGATGGTGAGGTTCAGAGTTCAAGTGTCGCTGTCGTCTTCATGTCGGAGGCCGGCGGGTCAGATGGAGTCGGCGCCGCCGCCCAGCAGGTCGCCCGGCAACAGGGAGGCGGGGCTTCCCATCTGGTGGCGGTCCTCCAGCGCCGGAGAGGCCCAGAGGCCGTCGCCGGGGTACCCCCCCATCCCGCCCCACAGCGCCGGCCGGGGCGCCTCCGCCGCTCCGCCGCCATTGCTGCTCCACTGCGTGAAGATTCCAAGGCCCGTCACCTGGGCGACGCCGCCCGGGTCCGACGGGCCGCCGTCCAGACTCTGCCACCCTGAGCCGGAAGACGCGACAGCGGCGCTGGAAGGGGCGGAGCCTTCCGCTCCTCCAGCCGCGGCGGTGGCTGCGGCCCGGTCGCCGGCGTTGCTGCCGGTGGCTCCTTCACTCCCTGCTCCTCCGGCCTGGGAATGTGCAATATAACGAGCGACCTCTTCCTCACTGACGAACTCCGCCAAGATGGTGGTGTTACCCAGAACGCACCTGGGGCAAAACAAGATGGAGGTCGTCGTTATTATCGCTGCAAAATCCTTTCAAAGGTGAAAATTAGCACAAAAACTAGCATGAAAACTAGCATGAAAACTAGCCTGCTCGCTCAACTGGTGTCCAACGATTTTGCAGCAAAGGTTTGTCTATCAGTTTAATGTTTACAGATGTTTCCAAAGGTCAAAGGTCAACTGTGGAAACTAACTCAAATTGTGTCGATCGTTTTGCTGCTAAGCTTTTGGTTTGTCCCGCTATGATTTTACGATCAGCTGGACTCGGCTACGTTTTGGTGTTTCCTGTTCGCCTTACATGTGGAGCGCGCTCTGGGCCTTGGCCGCCTCCTGCTTGGAGCCGTAGCGGATCAGAGCCGTGCCCTGGGTCAGGCCGAGGTGAAAGGTCAACAGGGGGCCATGCTGCATGCAGATGGTTCTCAGGGTGGAGCCGTCGATCTGCGGACACACAGCAGGCCAGATGGCGCTAAGCTTGCAGCCTGATGTCACTTCCTGTTTACGGTAAGGTCATGGGCGTGCGTACCTGCGGCGTGAGGTTACTGAGCACCAGCCAGCAGCTTTCCCGGCCGTTCCCGTCGCTCCAGGTCGAACCTGCAGGCAAACTTCACCTTATTCTGGTGCCGACGTTCACATTCATCATATTAAAATAAATAAATACAGAAATAATTAAAAATCTGTTCCTATTCCACAACCTCTATCTGGGTTTTATTAGTAGCTTTATGTGGAACTAGGATTATGGCTGAAACGAATAATGAATCAATCACTGAAATAATTAACATAGTAATCAATAGCTAAAGAAAAAAAAGGCAATTTGCTGGAACATGAACACATTCAGAGCAGCAATTAAACCAAAACTGAACTATAGCTGATATATATATATATATAAATACACTGTTTCCTAAAATCATTTGTATCTTTTAAAGTATTTCTAATATTTCATGTTCAGGTTATGTTTAGGTTAAAGAAGAATCTGCAGAATGTTTTTTATCCGCTAAATGATGAGGTTAGCTCCAGTAGCTTGGTGTACCGGTGTTGGTGGAGCCGCTGCCCCAGCCCCTCCCAGCGAGCCGCGGCGCCCCGCCGGACCAGGGGGAGGACGACGGCGGCTTCTGGCCAGGGAGGCCGGGCGGAGGCCGGGCCAGCTGGGCCTGGCTGCTGCTGCTGCTGCGGCTGCCTTTCCAGGACTTGTGTCCAATGGGTTCTGGAGGCCAGCTGGTCTTATAGTCTGTGTACTTTGCTGCAGAAAGCAACACACACATGCAAACACAAACAAACTTCACCAACTTTTTAACTTTCATGGCCTGATGCTGCTGTGATGAGTGTAAAAACCAGAATCTAAAAGCAAAAGGAAGGCAGTTGAGTTTCTGTACCTGAGTTGTGTGCATTGTTAAGAAGGCTGTCGGAGGCACTGTAGGGCCAGGCACCAGGTGAAGGCAGCAAGGTGTTCAGGGGGGGGGTGGAGTCTGAAACACAGGGGCAAACAGTCTGACCTCAAACTGACCCCAGCAGAGTTCACCTGCTGCTCCACTGTCACTAACATCCAGTTAAATCCAGAACAACTCAAAACATTATCAGGAAATTATCAGGCTACAAAGAAATAAAACTGAAACGTCTAAAAGTCAGAAATTTATATTAAACTGAGTTTAAACTAAGTTTCTCTGACATTTTAAAGTCAAAAATTGGCATGAAAATAGAAAAACAAGTTCAATCAAGTTTAGCGTTTCTGCAGTTTGACAAACTCTGATCCGAAACATTTAAAACCGTCAATTAAATTCAGAAGTGGACAAAAGAAAAGATTAAATGCAGTGAAGCTGCTGACACTGACTGCAGCTGAAGAAACGGATCTGACTGGACGATGAATCACCCAGGAGTCACTGCCATAAACCGGAATATTGTTGTTTTGAGACGATTTTCTAGTAATATAGTGATGATGCAATAACATTGCATCATCAATGATGCAAGAAGTGAGATTGTTATTTATTTATTTATAAATAAAAGTATCTATAATTTTTTAAAGCTTTAAACTCTGATGAATATTTAAAACTGGACCATTTTAAAAATACAAATCAAGTAATGAATTATGAAGTCTCTCTAAGCAAAATTATTCTTCAATAAAAGTTTTATTGGCACAAAAACACCAAACTGAAACTTTTATCATCCAGTAGCTTGGTTAGCTCCAGTAGCTTGGTGTACCGGTGTTGGTGGAGCCGCTGCCCAAATTGATAAATTAGTTTAATTTATCAAACTTTTAATTGATTGATTTATTAATTTCCAGAGAGCAAACTTTCATTTTTGTGCTCTTAATATATGACTTGAAAATGGTCTCAAACATTATTCCAATCATAATGATAATTTGGATAATTTGTCGTTTTCCTGCATCATGACCTTTGACCCTCCAGTCTGTACCGGTATTGTCTTGGAGCAGCTGGTGCTCTGAGTCGTTGAGTCCAGGTGAGACCGCGTTTCCCATCATGCTCCCCGGCGTCATG